CCAGGTTCAAATCTCCTGTAAAGCATTTTATAGTGCTATTTTTCTAATTCAACAATTTTTATCAAAAGTAATACAAGAGAGATTATTCAAACTTGTGACCCTTCTCTAAGCTTATTGAGGACATGACCATTGTTGCATTCGTTGAGTTGTGGCAATAAATGTAACAAAATGATATATGTTCAAGTTTAGCAGCTTTATGCAATTACTAGGATTTGAACCCTTGACCTTCGTTTGAAGCATACGGTGATTGGCCACTATGTCACTTGCTTAAATTAGTGCGTGAGTGTATGCAGAAAGTATATTTTCATTTTTATCAAAAATAATTGTTATATATAATTGTAAATATTTTATTCCGACCAACGAACCGGCCGCCCGTACTCACTTCAAATCTTGGATTCGCCCCTGATTATGGATAGAGAAACTCTTAAAAGAACAGAAAGTTGACCTAGAACATCCAACCTAATCAAACTTTATGGTGATAAGAAAGTAGCCATCAACATTTCTATCAATTCAGTACAACATGACAGGACCAAATATGTAGAAGTGGATTGGCACTTTATTAAAGAAAAAGTGGTTGATGGAATTATTTGTATGATATATGTCCTTACAAATGAACAAACTGCAGATATTTTCATCAAATGATTACCTTGACAAATCTTTAATGACCTCAACGGTAAGTTGAACAATAATCAACATCTACGGTTTAACTTGAGAGTGTAGGAAACTGTGTATGGAAATTGTCATCAAATAAAGATATTGTTTTTAGGTTAATTGGAAGGTTGTACTGTCTCCTTAGTTAGCAAATATATTTTCCTCTCCTTAGCCATTTCCTGTAATATAAATAGCATGCAGTAGGCCTTTTATAATTATCAATCAATAGAGAAATTCGTTTCCTTAAGTTCTCTCTTATCTCATAGGCCAATTGGCAGATAATATTCATCATACAACACTTGATTAGTTTGCAGAAATTTTTTCAGTTTGTACTAAAGGTGCTGCATGAATATAGGAGAGAAAACAACACAATCAGAGAGGGATGGAGAGAGGGGGAGAGAGAGGATGAGGAGGATAATTACTAGGTCAGTAGAGTAAAAGAAGTACATGAAAGCTAACATTAGAATATCAACTCGTTATGTAGATGTGGTCCAGAGTGTGATGGAATAAGGACCAAGTAGAAAACCAATTTAAAAGTATTTAGAAGTCCCTAAGACGATTAGGCATCCTAAAGAAACTAGTCAAGAAATCCTAAAACAGCTTGTTACATAAGTTATTAAAATAACTCCTAAAATATCCAGTAAAGCAACCTAAGACAATTAGTTGGTAAATGACTAGCTTCCAGTGTACTTACGTTCAAGTGTCATGTTTTAAAATTAAGTAAATTGCACGGAATAACAAAAGATAAGTTGATCAGTCAACACGACACCAGTGTGTTTTTTGGGGGGACAGAGGTAGTATTATCTTTCCCGGAAATATGATAAGATTTTTCTATAAATCTAAATTTCAAAAAATATTTGAAAATTTTGCCATAATTTGAGATAATTTCATCGATCAAATTGGTTCCACTAATTCAATGGTCTTTTTCACATGATGTCTAGAGTAAATAAATTAGAGTGAAACAAATAAAGTATTCACATAAATGAAATGAATGTAAAGAGTGGTCAACATACTGGTGAAAAAAAAGAAAAAGAAACTTACATTATGTATACTCCCACGGAAGGTGGAGTTCACATTTCCAAGAAGAAGAAAAATCATGAATACTCAAGGTAATCATGAATTGGGCATAAAAAAACGTAAGAATATTTCACTCCAACTCGCACATCACAGAAACATACAATAACATAGTACAATAAATAACAAATTTAACTCAAGACAAATATTATTCCTCCTTTTAATAAGAACTTTATAACTTATCTTCACTGAGTAAGATATATATTGAAGTTAATATCATTGTTAATTAGATATTTACATAATGCAGTTCAAATTAGTTTTGCTCCATAATAGAAATGCGGACTTTAGCTATTTAAAAAATAAATTAATTAATTAAAAAAAAACTCTAATTCTAGTCTATAGACACCACCAGGATGTGTTAAAACTTGATATTAAATTTTTAACTTACTAAACAATGTTTCCATACAATTTGTTTCAAAGATGTATTTAATTTCAGCCTACTAATCTACTTCCAGAATGAACAAATAACACTATAACAAGTGCGTGTATCCCATGTTGTGGTGCAACGGGTGATTGAAAAACTAAATCTTAATAAGGCCATGAAATAGTGGTTATGAAGTTTTCCAAACTATTCCATACTTGTCATTGAAGACCAAATAAATATCTGCAACAAGATAAGTCTCATTTCTGTTCCTCTAATACATAGATTTTCTTGCCATTTATGTCTTCATATCTTATGATGCAGAATTAGGATGGTGGGGAAGAGGGAACACAGAGAAACAAGGAAGAAAGAGGAGAAATAGGGCAGAAGAGGGAGAAGAGACGGCAGCAGCCAAACCAATAATTCTCAATCAATTCATTGTCCAAAATTACAAACCAAGATAGGTTTAAATAATAAAAACCTAGAAATATAGGGCCAAGCCCATTACTTAAGTCCTAACTAAAATACGTAAACTTAAATAAAAGTCCAACCGAAACAATAATAAAAGTCCAACTAAAATACTGAAACAATAATAAAAGTCCAACTATAATGATGTCCTCAGCAACTCTTCCGGGGTGGGAGAAAACTCGATCTTGTCGAGTGGATATATCACCGTAGACTCTCTTCAATCTCCCAACCATAAGCTGAGTGGTTGGGCAAGTTTCTTCCGACGTCTGTAGAAATGCGTCAGTGGCGGTCTGAACCTGGTGTCCTCATCAACTCCCCTCGGGTGGACGGGAGGCGATCTGGGCCAAGAAAGATCCTGCTGACTCCGATAAAGCTCCAGCAAATCTGGATTCAAATGCTGTAGTGTCTCCCTGGAGATCCATGCACAATCAGAATCTGGTCGACCAACCCAACGAACAAGGAAGCGCTGAACCTCTCCATCATTAGTGAACACAGTTTCTTCATCTAAAATAGCATCAATTTTATCTGTGTGCTGTGAGAGGTGGTAGTGGGTTAGAGGGGCCAAAGAATTAGGATCAAGGTCCACAAAAGGAGGTAACAGGGGATCATCTGAGGGAATGAAATGGCCTTTATAAGCTACAAGGTCTTCAACATTGAAAGTATGGTGGTAACCAATGTGGGATGGAATGTCAACAATATATGCATTTGGACCAACTTGCTTTAAAATTTTAAAAGGACCAGCACTACGAGCTTGCAATTTGGAAGCGGGTCCATGTAGACGCCGCTCTGGCCTGATGCGAACCATAACGTAATCCCCAACATTAAACTCAATATGTCGTTTATGTAAATCAACTTGTAGTTTATAATTTGCATTACTAGCTTCAAGTTGTTTATGGATCTCAATGTGCAAATCACGAAGGTGTTGTGCAAATGCTTCGGCTTATACTGACACTCTAGCCTGTGGGGACACAGGGATGAGATCTAATGGTTTCCTAGGCTTGTATCCGTGAACGGCTTCAAATGGACTCATACCTAATGAACGATTTACGGAGCTATTATATGCGATTTGAGCGACAGGAAGGATTAAATCCCAATTTCGAAGGTTCTCCCGGACCAGACAACGTAATAAGTTACCAAGACTCCGATTAACAACTTCGGTCTGACTGTCAGTTTGAGGGTGGTAGGCTGTAGAAAATTTTAATTTGGTACCCATCTTATGCCACAAAGTCCTCCAAAAATGGCTAGTGAAGCGAACGTCTCTATCGGACACGATGGTCTTGGGAAGCCCACAGTTTGCCAATCTCGTTAAAGAATAACATGGCAACCTTGGACGCATCCGATGTTTTGCTACAGGGGATAAAGTGAGCCATTTTCGAGAAAAGATCGACAACCACGAAAATAGGATCATGCTTCTTTGGGGTGCGTGGCAGTCCTAGCACAAAATCCATACTAACGTCTTGCCAAGGACAATTGGGGACGGGGAGAGGAGTGTATAGGCCTGTGTTCTGCTTCTTCTGTTTGACCAATTGACAAGTGTTACATGTACTAACAATTTTAACCACATCTCTCTTTAAACTAGGCCAATAGAATTGGCGTTCAACCTCCTCAATAGTCTTATCACGCCCAAAGTGACCGGCTAACCCTCCCGCGTGAACTTCCCACACTATAAAATCTCGCACTGAAGTTCGAGGGATGCACAATTTATTGGCTCGAAAGAGATAACCCTTCTCAAATCGAAAGCCATCTGTGCTATTTGATTGTCCTCCTTGCAAATCGAGAAAGATATCCTTAAAATCTGGGCATGCCTCGTAATCCTCCTTAAGCCTTTCAAAACCAATAACTTTGACACTCATGATCGACAAAAGGGAGGCACGACGACTTAACGCGTCAGCTGCTTAGTTCTCAACGCCCTTCTTGTGTTTTAAAACAAATGAATGGGCCTGCAAATATTCAATCCAACGTCCATGCCTAGAACTTAATCTCTTCTGAGAGTTGAGGTAACGGAGGGCTTCGTCGTCCGAATAAAGGACAAATTCCTGGGGCAACAAGTAGTGGCGCCAATAGCGCAAAGCCTGGACCACCACATACAGTTCCTTATCATACGTTGAATATCGTCGTTTGGCCTCATTTAACTTTTCACTGAAATAGGCGACAGGGTGACGATCCTGACTTAAGACTCCGCCTATACCTACCCCAGAAGCGTCACATTCAACTTCAAAGACTTTGGAAAAATCGGGAAGACGCATGACAGGAGCTTCTGTCATTCGCTCCTTGACTAACTTAAAGGCCTTCGCTGCCCCTCGTGTCCAATGAAACTCCCCTTTCTTCATGCACTCCGTGATAGACGCCATAATAGTGCTAAACCCTTTAATAAAATGACGGTAAAACGTAGCTAAGCCGTGAAAGCTCCTGACATCATGAATGGCCTTAGGCTCAGGCTAGTCAATTATCGCCTGAATCTTAGTAGGGTCAGCAGACACCCGTGTGACGAGACAATGAACCCCAGAAAAACTACGCTATCGGTGAAAAAGGAACATTTCTTGACATTAGCATACAGGTTAGTCTCGCGAAGGGTAGAGCAAACTTGTTTGAGGTGGTCACGGTGTTGCTTCTTAGTTTTACTATAGATAAGGATATCATCAAAGTAGACAACAAGAAATTTACCCATGAACGGTCGAAGAGTTTGTGTTATTACCCGCATGAAGGTACTCCGCGCATTACTTAGCCCAAAAGGTATGACCAGCCATTCATAAAGGCCATCTTTCGTCTTAAACGCGGTCTTCCACTCATCCCCTGGGCGAATTCTAATTTGATGGTACCCACTCTTTAGATCGATCTTTGAAAAGATTGTCGCACCAACCATCATATCTAGCATATCATCAAGCTTGGGAATGGGAAAATGATACTTCACCGTGATCCTATTGATAGCACGACTATCCACACACATTCTCCAAGATCCATCCTTTTTGGGCGTCAATAGGGTGGGGACAGCACATGGGCTTAAACTCTCACGAATGAATCCTTTGTTGAGAAGGTCATCCACTTGCCGTTGGAGCTCAGCGTGCTCGGTAGGATTCATCCTATAATGTGGCAAATTTGGAAGGGATGCGCCGGGGATGAAATCTATGGCATGTTGAATATCTCTTAGCGGAGGTAGATGATCAGGTAGGTCCTCCGAAAAGACATCTCGAAACTCCTGAAAGATCGATTGGACTTCCGCAGTATCCTCACTTGTGGAGTTAGATGAAACCTCCATGACTACTAAGGCGAACACAATTGAGTCACCAACAATTGTACGCTCAAACTCTGTAGGACTAATGATATGCAACCCCTTTTGTTCCACACTTTTCTTCGCTTCTAGTGAGCTAGCCGGCTTTGGGGGTAGTGGGTTAAGGTGAATCTTCTTTCCATTAAACATGAAGGAGCAGGAATTGGATCGACCATATATGGTTACATCTAGGTCAAATAGCCAAGGTCGTCCTAAGATGATGTGCCCGACGTCCATCGAAATAACGTCACACCATATATGGTCCTTATACTCCAGGAACTGGATATGGACTAAACAATGCTCCTTAACAGCTATAGAGGATGTGTCAACCCAAGAGACACTATAAGGTTGGGGGTGAGGAACTGGCTTCAACCCTAGACGGGATATAGTAGCCTTCGAAACCACATTAATACAGCTGCCACTATCTACGATAACTTTACAGCCCTTGTTATTAATCTTGATGTAGGTGTGGAAGATGGCATGACGGCGCCAATCGTCGGCATCCTTAGGCTGGGTGAGGGTACAATGGACGACACCGACTCTGGGTGTATGTGGGATAATGGGACTAGCCTGAATACAACCTAAGAAGCTATCCTCACTGTCCTCTAAGTCTTCAAACTCTTCTAACTTAGGCTCATAAACCTGATCCTCTAGTGGTTTGACGACTATATCCTCACGTTCGTCTAGAACTAGGGCTCGGCTAGGGCACTTAGAAGCAATGTGACCAAAACCCTTACAGTTGAAGCATTGCAAACGGGAGGATGTCCTTGAAACCTCAGAACCTCTACCTTTGCTATCCGATGCAGGGGTAGTATTAGAGGGAGGAGGACCTAGAATAGACTTAGGGGATGGCGTGGATGCAGATGAGGTTGTAGTGCGGGAGTCACTAATTCATAATCTCGAACGAAAGAGTAGGCGTGGTCGAGAGTGGTGACACCCCTAAGGACAAGCTTGTGCCTAAGTTCGTCTCTTAAGCCTAGCCTAAACCTACTCAAAGTCATAACTTCATCCTCAACAACCTGACATTTCATTCGAAACTCATCAAACTGAGCAACATATTTGGTCACAGGTCGATTGTCTTGTGTAAGTGCGTTCCATTGATCCAGCAAGTTACCCCTATAAGATTGTGGTAAATATTTTTCTTGAAGGCGATGCTTCATTTCATCCCAGCTCCCAACAGGGGGAGCATGACGCCTTTCAAGGAGGTCCTCAACACTCTCCCAAAAGAGCTGAGCAGTGCCAGTTAACTTCAAACTGGCAAATTGTACCCTCCGATCTTTCGGGACCCCATACCATGTAAAGAAGCGATCCATATCTCTAACCCATTGATTGAATGCACTAGGATCTAGACAACCGTCAAACGTAGGGACATCCAACTTAATGTTTCGAAAGAGGCGCTGCTCGTAGCGAGGGGGAGATTGTGTACCATGACGGTAATATCCCCGCTCTCGTTCCCGAGCCTGATTCCCTTCCCTACGACCATGTCGGGCATGGTGTCGACCACCTTGTGGGCGACGATGAGACCTATTAATGGAAGCCTCAGAGTTCTCAGCCTCGGTCGAATATGGGATTGGGTTAAGAGTATTCAACCTAGCGGTTAGGGCTCTATTCTCTTCACGAGTAGCAGCTACCTCAGTTTGGACAGCTGTTAGTTGATTTTGTAATTGTGCAAGCTATCTGGTGAGGGCCTCAATTTGGGCGGGGTCCATGGTAAGGTTACTAGAGCTAGAGGCAGTAACGCGACCACTACGCAATTGCATACACGGTAACACGACTACGTAAAGTGCACTACTGAGATCAATAATCAACAATCAACTAGTGCCGACCGAAGAATTAGTCATTGAAATTATTATTATTATTATTTATTTATTTATTTATTT